TAGATGGCTAACCTTGTTATACAAGGAAATTAAGTTAATTATAGAGGACTTTTGCCTCATGAACCCATTTACAAACCCAGCATTCTCAGTCTTTCTTTATAGAAGTGTTCCAGCCCACTAATTATTTATGTGCCCCTTCTCTGTATCTGCTCAGTGTCTGTCTTGTACTGGGGACACCAGAGTTGAACACAGTACTTGAAGTGGGGTCCTGTGAGAGCACAGTAGAGGGAGAGAATCATCTCACTTGACCCGGTGGCCACACTTCTGTTTATGTGGCCCAGAATAAAATTGACTTTCTGGACTGCAAGTGCACATTGTCAGCTCCTATTTAATTTTTCATCCACCAGTACCTCAAGTCCTTCTCTGCTCGTGGTCAATTCATCACTCAGTCTGTTTGGAGGTTGCTGCTGTGTAGAATCTTACATTTGGCCTTATTGAGCCTCATGAGGTTCATATGGTGCCATTGACGCCAAGTATAATACCATTACATCAGAATTATTGCTTGTCTAATAGCAAGATTGAGAAAAACATTATTTATGGTAAAAGTTGGCCTTTTGTGACCCTAGATCAGTACCTTCACTAGCTTCCTGCATATAGTGACTGAAGCTGACATTTTGTCTCCTGTCTCCTGTTTTTTGGTTGGTTTTTGTTTTTTTTACTCCTGAAGAAAGAATATTCATAAGATCTGTAACACACTTTGCCAGGGAAAGTTGACTTTTGTAGCCATGGCCACTTTCCTTGTCTCAAAGTTAACTGTTCATGTAACTCCTCTCGTATTTCACATTTCAACAACATGCAGGACCTTGTAGGAGACAGTCTTCTGAACAGAGAGAATGAAAGATTTTTACATTTGCAATGCCAAGATGCATAGCAAAACATACGAGTGCTTCTCTACAAGCCACGATGGCAGGCGAAGTGCTTGTGAACAGAAGGATATGGAAAAATCTTTACAAATCTTTTTAACTGACTGAATGATTTGGACAGTGGAATGATGTGGATGTGAGGTTGGCAGACCCAATCAGATAGTTTCAAAAAGTGAACTTCTTAAAGTCAGTGCAATCCTGATATGTCTTCCTTGTTCATAACAATTTGGTGTTTATGGCCTTCCCTCGCACTTACTTTATGGGAAAAGAGGTATGCTGAAAGAATAAAAGAGACTCACTTTTCCTCAGAGGAACAAACACAGAAATTGCATTGAGGATGACAGAGCATTATAATGCTGTACATTTTGAAAAGGGGTAAGACCAACAGGCTGAGAAAAGAGAGATGCAAGATGGTGTATGTAGCCTGGCCTCGTGTGCTGACAGCAAGGTAAGGGGAGGGCTGTCACGGCCTGCCTAAGATCTTATAGGAAAAGACAGGCCCACAGCATACTTTTCTTATAAGTACAGTGCAAAAAACAGAATCTGTCCCAGAAAAGTGGTTATCAAGGTGTGTGAAAATAAGGGAGTGAAGATTATTCAAAATTGCATTAGCTTCCAAAACTCTGTAGTGAACAGTTGCATCAAAATTCACATGAACAGAAATTAACCCACCCATGGCTTTAGTTGCTTGTTTATTTGGAGACTCATTTCTCTAAGGAAGGCATTTCAAACTTTGACGACTGCTGAGAATGGCAGGAGTTGATGAGGTCTTCCTCTGCAAATCTCTTTCATTGTCTTTGGTAATTACAGATAAAGGCAACTATGGCATGCGGTTACTATTCTTGTTGGTATGGATTATTGAAGGGCTTCTAATTCCTTCTGAGCACAAATACACATCTACTTGAGACCTTTGGTGGGGGGACTTGAACTAAGTCCTTCTACAAACTGGAGCCTGGAGAAATAAATACCAGGGATTTGGGTTGTTTAGATTAAGAGAAGTGAATATTTTAATATCTTAAACATTGTTAACCTCTTTCAGAAACTTTGTTTGAAACAAGTGACTAAATTTAAGGAATGAAACATAATTCCCAACAGCTTACTTTTCTTTCATATTCACTTGATCATAATTCACTGTCAGGCCAAATCCTCAGCTACCCTTTTCTGCTGAAAAATCTCCTGCAGTGTAGATAACTCAGAAGGGTAGAAGTACCTCTCTCTGCTACCATTCTTTCTGTGCTCTCCAAGATGAACTTGCCATTTTAGTTGACTTCTGAATTTTCCTACTGGCAGTGTATATGCCCTATTGATATGAGTTCTGATTTATACCCTTCAGAGATCAGAGAATACATGGTGAGTGTATCTCACAATATGGTCTCACTAATCTGCCATGATCTTTCCTTGCGTAGTAGATGCTCAGTGCTTTGGAATTCTGCAAAGCATCTGTGCTGAGATATGCATGCAAATCCCATGATTTTGTATCCAAAAGTAGATACTTACACCTAGGAGAATCTGGAATACTGTCCTGAAGCAGCGTAGATCTGAAATGCAAACTACTCTGCAAATCTTTTGGGAAAATATATCATCTCAGGCTGAAAGCCTACTTTGACTGATGATGATAACTGGGAAGCTAATGAGCTTAAATAACCAAACTCCAAAGTTTGGTCTTGCAGAGGGACAAGGAGAATTTTGCAAGGGTGGTTCCTAGTGCTCATGAATCATCACAGGACTAGCTGCATCCAGAATTACACATTCTATCTGAAAATCCCTCGCCATTAGCCAAAGGAGCAAAAATGGAAGGAAAAACCTGAATAGTTTTTTGGTATATGTCTAATAATAATACCTGTTCTTTTCCTTAAGGCAATGAATAAGTGAAAAGTAAGGTTTTAATTTCAAAATTGATAATACTAAGAAACCATGAAAAGAAGAAGAAGAAACTGAGTGGCAACTGATAGAAAGGAAGTTTAAATTTCCCTGTCAGATCAGTGGTTTAAGGTTAATAAATTACAGTAGTTGAAACTGAGGTAACAACAGGTCTGTGTGAAGCAGACTACTGTCTGTCAGGTTTTGTGGCATTTCTGAGAGACAGGTGGAGCATGTGTCAAGCTTGACAGACAAGTTATTCAGTATGGTATACAAGGTCGGCTCTAGATCTGCCTGCACACTGCATAATATACTTTTTTATTTGCTACCTATCATTAGCAAAATGCCTCTATCAAATGGAATATAAGCAGGTTTTCACACTACCTTTAGAAACTTGTCTTTTTTGCTTAGGAATGACTGGGGTAGTGGTGGTGAGCGCAGGGCGTCACTTGGGTGTTTGGTTGTTCACTCATTCGTTCGTTTGTTAGTTGGCTGTAGTTTGTAGATTATTGTGAATAAAATTTTTATTATTGTACTGCCAAAACTAATTTTTTCTTGTGCTACTCTGTGCACACTTTTCACTTCTGTGCATACTTGCAATGATCAAAATTTACTTGAATTATTTATATTTATATTTTATATATTATATATATTTATATTTTATATATATATTATATATATATTATATATTATATATTAGTTATATATATGTTTGGAGGTTTTTAATCCAAATGCTACAAAACAGAATGTGTTATCTTTCTACTCAGATTTCTTCTAAAAATTTTATGAGGTTTATTTACCTTTTTATCTTCTCCTATGATCATGTAGACCACTGTGGTACATTTGCAAAATTGTGTTTTGCCCTGATTTTATATTGACATAGGTGTAAATGACTACTGGAGGAATTTCACAGTTAAGTCTTCTGGATAACGGAGACAGAAAGGATGACTTCAGTAACTTAAAGGAAACCTGTTCTGTTTATTTTAGAGTTAACTCAGTATGGAAAAAGTTTCTCTATTGAAAAAAAAAAAAACAGAGGGGGGAAAAGCTGAAGCTGATGCTATCCTTTCCCTTGGATAGTTCAAAATGGTTTGGATTTAAAATTTCAGGCTTGGCAGGAATTTAGTCCTGAAAGAATGTGTACTTGTTAAGTCCTGGCCAAAAAAAAGATAGAGGGGTGAGTGTGGGGAGAAAAGTTTTGAAATTAAGAAATTAAAACTGTTAGGAATTCTATTCTTTTGAAGAATAAATTTTAAAAGCCAAACCCTGCATTCTGATTTGCACTGAGGACCTCTACACAGTACTGTCTGAACTAATAAAACACATGGAACGTCACTAAGGTCAGATACTCGGAATACAAACTGCTGAGTGCTAAGAAGGTATCTGGTTATTGGCCTTTCTTTTGGGAGCGCAGCCAGCATCAGGGCTGGTATGGGTCTCCTGTGGGAGAAGAGGACGAGAGCCATGGAGAGCATGTCAGGATATATGCTCTCCTTGACCTTGCTGAGCCCAGTTGCTCTTTGGATGCTTTTCTGCAGCAGGATTCTGGGAGTAGTGAGGGGCTAGTGAATTGAGGGGAAGTTTTATGCTCTCCTTCTCCCCTTATATCAACTTGTGCTGTAAAGAGTGCTGTCACACTAGCCAGAGAGTAGGTTCAGATTAGATATTTTTTTACTGTAAGGGTAGTGAGGCACTGGAACGGGTTGTCAGGAGAAGCTGTAGATGTCCATCCCTGGAACTGTTCAAGGTCAGGTTGGATTGGGCTCTGAGCAACCTGGTCTAGTGAGAGGCGATGATTCTGTAGTTTCACACTGCCACAGAGATAGTTCCTTCCTCCCATTGCCCAGTTGTTCCCCGGCAGATAAAGCCTGACTGCTCAGGCTGTGTCAGTGCTAAGGTGTGTGGCCAGGTAGGTGCAGAGCTGTGCCCTTGTGAAATCATTATGAATTGCAGGGAGACGCAAGACATTATTAATGTGATTCAGATGTTGCCTTACGTGTTGTATTCTGATCTCCAACCTTATTTGTAAGGTGATGATACATTCTAGAAAGTAATTTTTAACCCAAAGTTAGGAAACTAGGGAGTTGTAGAATTCGTACCTCAGTAGAGACAGAGAGCCCTTTACTTTGGGGAAGAGAGTTGGTGGGGGAGTAGGTGATTAGAGATATGTGTGAGAGATATGTGTGAGAAATATATGTGACGTGGTAAATATTATGTGTTTGCTTTTTATATTCATCTACTGATGGGTTTGGGTTTGTTTTTAATTTTTGGACACAGGACCTGTGAAGGACGAAACATCCGGTACAGGACATGCAGCAATGTGGTAAGTATAGCTTTGATATGATACAAATTATCACATAAGACAATCACATCCTTACAGCAAATAATTTGGTAAAGTGATAGTGAGAATATTTTAATTATCTAAATTGTCTTTATACCACAGACCGTAGTCGGTTTCTTGAAAAGTAGAGAGATTATGGCCTGATGCTAAAACTATTTGGAAGGGATTGCAGTCACAGCCATCACGAATAAAGTGTTAGTGGAACTTCAGAGTTGCTATTTACAACCTCCCTGCCAGAACCAAGACACTTGTGTTCACAGTAGTACTTTCATAACCAGCTGGTTCACACTGGGTAGTCTGTCACACTGCAGGATTAAGATGTTAAGAATTGAAGACAAGTTAGTAGGAGATATGTGATTCTATGATTCTGTATGTTTCTGTTCACATGTGCCCTCACTGCGCTGTAATTCTATTGCATGTGTTAGAAAAACTGTTTTACATAGACTGTACCAATGTTCTGGCATTTTCAAAGGCTCTTGCTTGGTTTTTTTTACATGTGGCAAATAAAGTTTTCAAAACAATAAAATAAGAAACTTCAACTTCTGTCTTAACAAAGTGAAAGTGTGTTTTCACTGGTGAAAATAGAAATAGAGACTTTCATATGGAAAGTTTTATTGAGTGCCAAGAATAGTAAGGGGTCTCAAATTACATGGAGAAATGTCAGTTTTACCAGTAAAGATGGAAAATGAAATCAAACATACACTGGGCCAAGCTTTCTCATGCCTGATAGGGTCATATTCAGAAGCCATTCAATAGGACCTTTGTTTTAAAAAGTTTAAGAGTTTAAGTTAAAAAAATTAATATGTTCGCTCATATTTAGCTTATCTTTTTTTCAACAGACCACAGTTCATAATTAAAGAAACTGCTTCTATCTGAGTTGCATTCTCCCACGCAGTAAGATTTCTGTCAGTTCTTAAGGAGTTGAACTTTGATAATCCTTGTGGGTCTCTTCCAACTCAGAATATTCTCTGACTCTCTGAGTCCTCTGAAATTTGTTCTGAGTGTATCCTTTGGGTTCCTGAAGTGTCTCATCAGTCTAACCTTCAGCTTCCCTGACAGCATCTACAGTAGTTAATAGATAGGTCTGCTGGCAGATTAGCAGTCCAATTTTCATCTAAGGAACTTAGGCTACACCACAGCTGTGTAGGGAATGAGAAGATTGTTTTTTTGTGTTAGTCAAGCTACATGCCAAAGCTCTGTGGTATGACACAGAAAGAAAAAAAAAAAAAGTATACTGTTAAAAGCTAATTGGACTACAATTAAACCCATTAGTTTTCTTTTGGTTGTGTGTTCATGCACATTGTGACAGTCCCTTTCTGTGTCTGACCTACTCTGTGTATGTTAAGAACAGTGAGACAAACTAGCATTGTGATCTGCTGCCATTATCTGTTCCTGGGTCATCTTGGTGAGAGGCTAGGGTTTTAACTAGGTTGCAACCTGTGTTTTGGAATCATGCAGTTTAACTTTCTAAGATAAGGAGTATTGTTTTTAATGTTATTTTTAGCTTAGGTTCTGCTTTGCAAATGTGCACCTGAACAGTTTTCCTTCAGAATAAAACCTTACATAGTTTTGTCAGGCAGTTCCTTTGCATACCTTGTATTTGGCAATAGTGGCTCCAGAATTTCCAATGTAACAGTGAGGCATGCAGCTGCGGAACTCACTTAATTATTTTATATCAAATAATCAAAAATGAAACTTTCAAACTTTCACCTTTAATATGCTGAAATCAGTGACAGTTTTACCACTGAAATATGAAAACCCAGGGCTGCATTTATGATTTCAAATCATTTTTGGGAGAGGTTAAAGAAGACCTTATGCTACATTGCTCTTGTTCTTAATAAAAGTATTAAAGGAGCATTCATTTGCTTTGTAAACTTGCAAAACTAGCAATAAATCAAACTATTGTCAAGCTTCTGACTGCATTGTGCTTTGACTAGGCCTTCCAAATACAGCTTTATGTCACAAAGAAAGCACTTGGCTGTATTTATTTTGCAGACATTTGATTTTGGAGGGGACAGTATTTTCTATTTTAAAGTATGTTGAGTCTTTCTTTGATTCTTTGTAACACCCTTCCATTTATAGTCTTTCCTAATCCTGGGTACTGTCCACCAGTATTCAGAACATCAGGCACTGGAAGGGCATTGGGACCAGGATCAGCATCAGAACTTGTGGTACAGCCATGATAGTCCACAGCCACATGTATCTGGGGCTGGAAACTTAAAAATACCTTGTGCTGCACTGGTGTAAATCCAAAGCAATCTGAGAACCCCAGACTTGAATTTCTGTTCTAAAATTCATTCTATTGCTGCGTTTTTTAGCTGTAATACTAAAATACTATTTTTAGCTACTCTCTTTCAGAATAGTAAAAAAAAAAAAAAAAATATGTCGTATGCTTTGTCGTTAATTAAGTTTACTGTTTTGTCTCCAAAATCCGAGGATACATACACACAAAGTGCATCTTGGAAACAATTCATTAACACAATGGCTTGTTGTGGAATTCTGCACTAGAAAAGGCCCATGGTATTTTGTGTGTTTTTGTTAACTCGGGTTTTCCCTGCGAAGATTTCATCTACAAAGACACTGAAAATCCACTGGATGGAAATTCCAGGCTCAAGACCTACATTTTCATCTGTTAGATGACAGTCTTTTCTTAAAAGGAAAACGAGAGCAAATCCCCTAGTCTGCCCCTGCAAATGAAGCCATCTATTGTGCATCATTAAAAACTCCTGTGAAATTTCTTTGATTCTTGTGAAAATCAGTGAGTCCTGAAATACAGGTTTCCATTACCATTAGCTTTTGTATAACTTCAGGAACGATGTTATTGTTCGTAAAAAAATGAGTCTTTTTATTTTTTGCAAGCTGTCTTTCTGTGAACTAACAGAAAGATTGTCATGACTGATTTTTATGACTGTGCTCTTGCAAGAAAGGATGGATAGTCACATATACTAGAAGCAAACTTTTCAAATGTGAAATTGGAGAATGGGAAGAATACTTCTTGAAGTCTGGCAATGAACACATTTTATAGGCACTATCATTTACAAGATTTTGCTACAGCTGGTTTCAATTCATCCTGAAATTAAATTACAGAGGGGAAAAAGATGAGATAAAGAGAGGCAGGGGGAAAGAGTGGCATGTGTGTTTTTCCAGTGACCTATATTAATTATTCCAGGGGTGCCGAACCATTTTGCATAATATAGACTATAAGAGAGATTGATACTGCTGTCTGTAAAGCTTTTGAGCAGTCTTTAAAAGAAGAAATCCAGTCCAGTATGTTTGCCACTTGCGTTGCCTGTTGATGATCATCAACTGGAAAGATTATGGGTATAAAGCCACATGTGTAAATAGTAAAAAAAGGAATGAGAGAATCTGAAGATGATTTAGGGTTGAATTGCATCTGTTTTTTTCTTCTTACTATTCATACTCACTCAAAGCATGTTTCCAGCCATTTTAGAATATATTCATGGGAGGGAGAGAGTAATTTGTTTTTCTTTAGAAAATTAATCTGACTGTAATGAAAACATGTTTTTACATCTATTTGGGTTATTATACTAAACATTAAGCAAAATAAACAAAAATGTTTCCAAACTCTGAGTAGGAATTTTTTACTAATTCTTTTTTGTTTGTTGTGGGCTTTTTTCAATTTAGCACGCTCTTTGTTCCTTCTTCTAGGCACAGTCTTAATTGCCAGGTTCTTTTCAGATATTGTACCAGACTGTTGTGTTATCTAATTTGCCCTTTCTCGTTTTCAGTCCTTCTGTCCCTATGCTGTGTTTTTCTTTCTCCTCTCTCCATTTACATGAAAATATCTCTGGAAGATGTTTGTTGGACTGTGTACTGTCTTCGTGCCTTCTTTCTTCATTCTTCTCAATTATGAAACTACTTATTGTGATTGAAAACATTTTTATTTTCCTTTTTATTTTTCCTTTCACTGCACTGCTCTCTAAATCAACCAAAAAAAAAGGTGCATGAAACTGACGGTTAAGCTACAGAACATTACTAGGGCTTTCAACAAGGTTTAGAGCAGTTCCATTAAGCCTAGGATAAAATTTGTAGATGGTAGACCCCGTAAATCACAGAACCAAAACTTGTAAACACCACCTGCAACTCTTTTTATATATACCTCTCTTTCTTCACTTGGCTGAAGTACCAACTGTAATGACATCCCCCATTTTTTGGCTTGCATTAAGACAATCTACTTCCATCTCTGTTTTTTGTCAGCTCATGCTGCATTTTGTATGCAGCACCAGTGATATTGCTCATCTTACTTTCCACAAAATAACACTATCTTCTTTCCACCCACTAAATCCCAGCCTGTTGTTAAGTGTCAAACTTTTAACTTCCATGTAAGTGCATAAGTCTCAGAAGTGCTGGCTTATGAGAAGCATCATCACCAAGTAGATTTTTTCAGAGCACAAGAATAATTAGCAGGACTTAATTTTTCTACACAGTGGTGACTAGAAATGCCATGCAAAGTCTTTTGCAATCAAACCTCACAGTTTGCATTTTGCAGTAAAACAATAATTAAAATTATAGGCACTACACATATCTCCTTACTAACACGATTTATTTGATGTCAGTTCACTTTTTAAGTGGAAATTCTTCTAAACTCAGATAATTTATTGTGACCATAGCCTGTTCTTCAATCTGCTGAATTTTAATAACTACCATCTTATTTCTGATTGGGTGCATTTTAAAACCTCTGTGTGTGATCTAGAAATTACTTCTTCATACTTGGAAATAAATGCTTGTAGTATCTTGCAAATGAGAGAAGCTTGGACTTCTGGATTTTCTATCTTCTCAGCAAGCAGAATTGTGGATCTCTGACAATTGAAAACTAGAAAAAACACTCCAAAACCCAAAACAAAACAAAACAAAACAACAAACAAACAAACAAAACCCAAAAAAACACACCCCCTCCCAAAACCCCAACCATTGCTGCCATTCAGTATTAATTTATAAAGAACCTTGGTAGACTAAACAAT